CTCAGTAGCGGGATACAAAGCGCAGCTCGATCTTAAGGGACTTTCGGGTCTCTGGAGCCGCCGCAGGCGCAGGGGAGCTCGACAGGCCGTGCGGGCCGGGCTGCGCTGCTGCCGGGCTGTGCTTGAAGCCGGGTTCTCCGCAGGTTCAAGAAAACGTAGTGGTCCCTGGTGTCCACCTACGGACAGATGCCTGGTGACTGGGGTTTAGCAAAGTATGTGATCATAGGAGGAGCACAAGGGTGAGTTGAAATACCAGAGGAGGCTAGGTTAGGGTTCAGCTGGTTTTCCTTTCCCTCCCTGTTTCTGTCACTTGGGAGGCTGCATTGGGTGTTTGGGTTTGCTGAGTGTCTGTTGAAAGCGCAGAGCAAGTGCGTTCAGGACGTCAGCAGCAGGCGGTGAGTTTTTTAAAAGACTTTATGCTTTGGATTATTTAGATACTGCTACAGATAAGAACAAGTGGATCGTAATCAAAAATATGACTCGCATATTTAAGTCCCACATGTAAGCACCTGTTGGCATAGGTTGCCACGATTTCCTGGCAGCTTGCATTGTGAGACTCAGCTTTCAGTTGTCCGCAATTTTTTTGAATCCAAAGCCATTAAGACTGAATCTTTCCGTCAGTGTTCCTCCAGCACAATTTTTCTTGCTACTGTCTTGAGAAACAAGGCTAGAAAGAGATGCAGTGTTTTTTTTATTGTGAAGCAATAGAGCATTTTTAAAAAATCTGTGCATTGTAAAAGAGATTTAAAATCAGGCATGAGAGAGCTCTCACTGTAATTTTCTATTAAAAAAATGGTTAAATTACAAGTTTCTGGGTAGAAAGCTTATCTTCTGTGCTTACCAGAGGCTTGCAGATGTAGTACACAATCCTGTCAACGTCATGTGTCCTAAGGATGATCCATGCTATCTTGTGTGTGTTGGAGCATGGTGCATGTATCATGTCTAGAAAACTTCTGAGCAAACTAAGGTTGTGGAACAGGATATTCCTTGTAGCTATTTCTACCTTCAAATAGGGATTCCTCTTCCATGAGGCATCTCTGAATTTGGGTGGATAAACAGGCTTCCCAGTGCAGCTCTTCTTCCATCTTTTTGTTTCCTATGTAGATAAGTCTTTTTGGTGCTGTGAAGGTTGATGAACACGGATTCAAGCAGCAAAACTAAAATCATAAGATAAGCTCACCCATAGAAAAATGCATAAGAAAATTTCTGTTTTTCTAATTAATGTAAGAGTGAATGTGTACTATGAGTTAGATGTGTGTCTTTACATTTCTTAAAATAGAACGAAATACTGAATCATTCCTACTTAGAAGGTACTGTATGTACCTTTTGTCCCTTTCATTTGGTTTTGGCAATGTTAAAGATTGTGTACTGTTATGTCATTACACAGGGTGTGCACAAGCAGTTCAGTTCAGTTGCACAGAAGATCTTATTTCAGGCATTTTTAAACTTTGGAATGCCTTATTTTGCAGGAAATCGGTGTATGTGCCAAATGTGCCTGTATGCAAGCATTCGGTCATCCCTTGCAATACTGTAGTAGTGGGTTCAAGAAAGAAAAATTGCAACTTTTTATGTAAATGTCCAGATGAGTTTGGTTATAAGAACAGCCATACCAGCATAGGTCAAAGCTCCACCTCACCTAATAGCCCATCCTCCATCCTGGCCAACACTAGATGGTATAGTGGATAGGAAGAAGACTGGTGTGTAATGGTGTTTCCCCAAAATACACTTTCAGCTTCCAGCAGTTAGTGGCTTGAGAGTTTTCTAGCAAAATGTGTTTGAAAAATTAAATAGGACAGCCCTTTCTACAGGTACCACTAATGTTGTGGTAATTAACCACTAATAACCTGTCAGATAGGCCACCTCATACATTGTGATTAAACTCACAGTGGTTATTCCCAAACTGTGTTTAACTTTCAAGTTTGCTTATTTGTTGAAGACCTGAACAAGGGCTTATGTGTCTGAAATACAATCTGTTTTTTCCAGCTATACTCAGATCTGCTGAAAGATACTTGTCTTCAAGCTAACTTAAAGGCTGCATTTTTCTGTAGGCATTC